AATATAAGAATGAATCACAAAGAACAAGAAGAATTTGAAATATAAGAATGAATCTCAAAGAACAAGAAGAATTTGAAATATAACAATGAATCACAAAGAACAAGAAGAATTTCATAATACCATACCCCTTTCAGTCTTCAACACAAACACCTAAGTTCTGTATATTTTGCCCGAATGAAAAAATGTAAATAAAACATAAACAAAATTTACAGTAAAAGAACAATTTTGTATTATATTGATCCTCAAGATACATTATGAGCAGTTATCGTAGTGACATCTGAACAAAGTATGTCGAGGCTAGCCGATGCAAAAAAAATCAATCAATCAATCAATCAATCAATCAAATAAACCGACCAGCCAGCCAATCAATCGATCGATAGATCAATCATATTGTAAATCATAATTTACTCGAAAAATTGGGACATATCATCAACAGATAGATAACAAGGAAAAATCGACGTAACAATGAAAAAGTCCAAATTGATAGCGGGCACTTTAAAGTTCTAAAGAGGCGATAGCGCGAACAAAAGTCCTCTCAAAGACATGCTTTGTGTGGCCTCTCTTTTAAAAAAATCTAAAGAGGTCATAATATTTGTGTAAAGTAAAGTGCCACGAGCTCTTGTAGAATATTTAACCGTTTTGAAAAATCTATACATGGTATGACGATTGCACTTTTTGCCAAAGCGCTTGGTGGTACCTCAATTCAGCCCCCTGAGCTTAAGTTTTAAAGACTATCATTTTAAAAAATAGAAGGAAAATTGCTGGGTACCCGTTTTCATTCCGGCACTAAGTTTTAGTTTTAGTTTTAGCTTGAGCGAGGGGTTAAGACGTAATAATAGTTATCTTGGAATACTGCAATAGTGCTATTTTGGTCTGACGGGGAGGCGGCGAAAAAAGATCCGAAGAAAGAAAGCTTTTCTTACATTGGGAATTAAGTAGGCGTTGTCATTTTTTGTTGTTGCTCATAATAGACACTTTTACGACAGCTACTTCCCCTCGTCCAGGGTCAGATGTGAAAAGTACAAAGCCAGTGATTCAAGCTGAACTCACTTGCCGTCAAGCAGTTTTTACACAGACACAGCTCCATCACGAAGAAATCAGAAAAAGGTCTTTGAAAATGTTTTGGCTCTTGAGAAAGTTGTCATTCACTGTTCATCATCACCCGGTGCCTGGCCGACTGGCGTGGGCGATCATGGACCTCCACTTCACTCTTTCTTGCGTTGCAGCAATTCTGTTGTTCTTGCTGCTCCCAGCCATGTTGTCATCTTGTCCAGTACCTCTGTCTGCCTCTGCCTCTCTTTCCATCAAACTTGCCTATTGTTACAATATTCTTCAATGCTTCTTTCAGCATTGCATTCACTGTTACAGCTGTCCAAAAACTACGACTTGGCTCACCGAAAGCCTAGTATTTTTTCCCTCTTAATTGCTCAATTCATATTAATAAACGACAGACGCTGCAAGAGGCTAGATCATATGGATCATCACAAAATAGTTGTACTGAAACCTTTAAAAAAACAGACACAAGAAACATACAATACATTGAAACATGTTCTCCAACAGACGGACACCAATTAAATGACTTTTTTTTCGATTGATATAACGCACAACACACGCACGGCACACGCACAACACACGCACAGCACACGCACAACACGCGCACAGCACACGCACAACACACGCACAGCACACACACACACAACACACACACACATACACACACATATATACACACACATACATACATACATACATACATACATACATACATACACACACACACATACATACATACACACACACACACACACACACACACACACACACACATATACATACATACATACATACATACATACATACATACATACATACATACATACATACACACACGCACACGCACTTACACATATTCAGTCACACACACACACACATTTGTACACACACGCATACACACACACACAAACATGAACGTAAACATACATATAGCGACACATTCTTTCTTTCTCCTCATGTTTTCCAAAATGTCGGGTACGGATGATATTATGTTTTCGAAACAGCGAACAAAAAATTGTTACTTAAGATCGTATAAAGACATCTCCCAATCAGTAACAAAGAACAGCATAATCTTTACACAGTATAACATGACTTGAGATTCGATATGTACAGTTCATCAATCACTTTACGGCATTTGTGGTGTCCTGGTGACACTCTCTGCTGTTCTACACAAAAAAAACACGAGGAAATGATGCTATTTTTCACTGAATAACTCAACTATTCTAACAAGGAATTACTATATAAATAGGGGAAAAGTTAATGAAAAATAAACCAGTTGAAAATTGAAAAGTAATGAAAGACACAAGTCACAATATTATTCTTTTCTAAACGGTTCTTAAACATACAAAAAGATTATTGTGTAGGTTGAATGTGCATTCAAACACTAAGCTTTATTTTTAGGAGACCAGACCTCTGGATACAACGACCAACTCCAATAGGAACGAGCTAAGTGGGTGGAGAAGCTCGAAAACTCTTTAAAAATTACACACAATTTCAAGAATGCAGTAGTGGCCGTTTGAATCAGAGTCATCAGCACCGTAATCCAGCATGATCAGGGCCGTGTTAACTAAGTGCGGGGCCCTAGGCTGTCCATGAGCCGCGGGGCCCGGGCCCCTCGATGACGTTGATGCTACTACTACCGCATTGTAACCCCGTACAGATGGAAAGCTATATTGTAAAACGTAATTAGATGTAGGCCTACCGGTATCCACCAATAATGTGGATTAAGACGACGACAAGCACATTTATAGATCTGTTACAAAGTATGAGACAGCCGAAACCTATCAGAGCTTGTTTGCTTCGTGGTGGATTACTTCATCTAAACACATACACAACGAATTATAAAAACTCATACCCTGTATTTTTCTCCTGGCTTTTTGCTGGGCAAATGCCTCGATGATGTCCTCAAAGTCTAGAGATTTTGTCGTTTCAGATTCAATCGTCAAGAGAGCTAGGCCGCTTAGTTTCTCTTGTCCCATCGTTGAACGCAGTCTACTTTTCGCTCGTTTCAGTACGGAGAAGATCTTTCCCCCAATACGTTAGCGATAGGCATGGTGAGAAAGAGCCTCAATGCGATCTCTACATTTGGAAAAGCTGTTGTTGCACCGCTTTCGCGCAGATCTTGAAGGAGCCGGGGAGGAGAAAGTATATCCTCAGACTGAAATGCTGAGTTGACATATCCTGAATACGACACTAGTTCGTCAGGAAATGATGGCTCTAGGTCGTCCTCATATTGCTGCTGAATGCGAGATGCTGTGTCTCGAATGCTTGTGGCAGGCTTCTTGTGAAGATAAAAGAGATTGTCAAAATCTTGAGCAAGAGTCTTGTAGATGTCTCCTCGATTTTCAAGTTCAGACAGAAGGCAGTCAACGATGACAAGGAAGGTGTTTATTCTAAACTGCTCCCGGTGCGACAAAACAGCTTCAAAATCTTTCGTTTCGTCGTGGAAGCGCTTGCGTTTTGCAATGCATTTGTATTGGCAGGAAGGCTCTTCGACGAAAGGTGTGGCTGATTGTTCGATTCGCTCGAAATCGTCCCGAAATCCATTAAGAAAGCAGTTAGAAAATCATACAACATGTGTACGACTCCCAGGCTGAGTGATGGTTGCTGAAGTGTTTTGTTGACAGTGTTAAAGCGTGCCAGAACTTGCTCCCAAAACACACACAGCACAGCAGATTCAAAATTTTCCATCTTGTTGTGCAAGGATGACGGCTCTTCACGCGTTTGGGGAGATTCTTTCATGTCATGAGAGACGTCAAGCAGTTAAGCAGTAATGATATAATCTTTTAATAGTTGGATTTTAATGCTACTGATGCATCATGTCGGGCAGACCATCTAGTTCCTGACAATGATTTGGGTGTAGGGCCATCGATACGTTTTACAAACAAGCCCCAACGATGTGTGGAGCTTGAAAGGAAGTTGTACAATGCTTGGCTGGACGAATCCGACAAAGGATGCTGCGTCTACGCAACATTCAGCTGCAAAAACACCAACCAGATTTAGAGAATGAGCCGCTGTAAGTGGCCAGGATTTCGACGTAATGTAAGCCTAGAATGTTATAGTTTTCGGCCTAGTGCCTAGGGGTAATCAAAAGACAACTTCGGAAAACACATCAGCAGCAGCCACAACAACAGCAACAGCGGTAGCATCAACATCCTTCTCATCAACATCATCAACAACAACAACAACAACTGTAAAAACAACAGCAATGCAAACAACAAACAACAACAACATTTCAACAAGAGGACATTTTGTTGTTGTTGAAAAACATTTTTTAAACGTCGTGTTTGCAAGTGCGGGGCCCCCTGAGGCGCGGGGCCCTAGACTACACCATAAACAGCCTTACGGGTAACGCAGCCCTGAGCATGATGCCACCTATCGAAAATGAGCTGTGCAGTAGGGAGTTGGGCCATATACATAAACTTATAGAATTTATATATGAATGTTGACAAGAAGCAAAAATAACAATTTTGTATCAAAACGGACATAAAAAAAACCCTACAGAGCAGTAAGTTTACTGTCCCACACTTCTACAAACCGTTTACAAGGGTAACGTACTCCAGAACCGAAAAAAGTTCTTGTCGAGAACCAATCAATAGAGCAAGGTGGATTTAGAAAATGGTACACAGAACGGACCATCTATATACAATCATTGAATCAAGTTATAGAAAAATGCCACGAATACAATCTACAGCTGTGCATTGGTTTTGTTGATCACAAAAAAGCTTTCGACTTCATCGAACACTTTGCAACTTTTGAAGCTCTCAGGAAAAAAGAATGTGTCACGACGCGGTGGAGTTAGGCGCTCGTCAATTTTGGGGTTTACGGAGCTATTGGTATCTTCTTAAAGCCTGTCCATTTGCCATGCTTTTGATGAAAAAAATGCCCATTTATCCCGGATACAAGTCAAGATATTGGCGACTGAAGGAGGTGGGGTCGCCTCGTTTCAGAGGAAAGATTAGCGAGAAAATGGCCGCCAAAGTTGAGTTATTTCCTTAGCTTGAGAGTCCGTGGAAACTGAAAATTTACATATTTTATGTTTTTCAGTAAAATCTACTCAGAAATTTTTTTTAAAGAGCATGAAAGGTGTTGAGTCAAAAAACAAAAATTCGATAAAAATTCCCAAACCTGCTGAAAAATGCCAATTTCCTGACTTTCATTATTTTGACGAGCGCCTGATTTCACCATGCTGCCTCACATATGGAGTGATTGGTATCATTTATTTAAAACCAGTTCATACGTCTAACTTTTGTTTATTTAAAATAAAAATAGATATGCATCTATCTTAAGTAGAAGTCGAAATAATTTGCAACTGAAGAAGGTAGAATTAACGAGAAAATGGTCGCCAAAATTTCATGAATTTCAATGCTTGAGTGTCCTTGGAAACTGTACATTTACATTTTTGTGTCTTTGGACAACTCTTTTCAGTGAATTCCAAGCAGGAATGTGTATTAAATGGACATAATAGGCGATGAGCTAAGAAATCAAGTCGATAAAAAAGGTCTCACGAGCGGGAAAATGTCGGTTTCTTCCATGTTATTATTTTGACGAACGCCTGATTTCATCACGAAGCCTAAAAAATTAAATATGAACGAAACATAATCCAATTACTGATAAACCTAATAATAATAATAATTGCATTTATATAGCGCATATCCATGCTCAAGAGCATGCTCTATGCGCTTTACAACTATTATTATCCCAGCAAACCCTCTGAGAACACTCAGAAACATTCTCGGCTTCCGCGGAAGCAAACAGTGCAAGCTGCGGATTTCACGCGCTCAAACACTATCAAACTGACAATATCGTTCACTGTCTACAGCCGGGTACCCATTTCCACCTGGGTGAAGTGAGGAAAGTTTGTGCAAAGTGCCTAAACCTTCACTGAGAGGGGTCATCTCGAATCCATGTTGACAACCACATGGCAGAAAAGTTTGCCATCGAAAATAGAACGAGGCAAGGAGACCCCCGTATTTCTTAAACTATTCACGGCAGCAATTGAAATTTTATTAAAAAGGCATGTCACAGTAAAGGAATTTCAATAGCTGGGGAACAGCCGAAAGACCTCGGAGCCTCAGATTTTCCAATGATGTGCAACTTTGTCCTGGAAATTAACCTCAACAATCATAAATAACGAAAGAAAAAAAAGTAGGTTTTAAAACCCACAAAGATAAAAATTACATGACGATTTTTTTTCTTTCTCCCCTTCCACCGCTCCCTCTCATTTCATGTATCTATTATCTATTTGTGGTGGCCGAATTTTGCTATTTAAAAGGCTTTTTAATGGCTACATCGATCGACATGCGGTTTTCGCCAAAAAATTCTTTAAAATATTCTCCAAATCATGACGCCCATGGTTTTTTCCAGTTTTGAGACAGTTTTGCTGCAAAAAGCTAAATTTCTTTATTTCACCGATCGCTTTTTGTAGGCCGACGCTTCTGTCTTTGTAATTTTAGAAAATCCGGAAGTGATATTTCGTGAGGCTCATTTTGTTTTGAGAGTATAGACTATAGATCTAGACCTTCTCATTTTTTGCATCTCTCAAGATTTATTTCCCCATTCCAGTAGAGTGTAAAATATAGTAGGCCAATGACTTTTAGTTGATATTAAAGCACCGATCATTTCTTTCATCGAAAGGGGGCCCAGCAAGTCCTGTTACAAATAACTAGTGTATCGTGGTTTCTAGTATCAATTACACAATCTAATTTTTTTTGGCTGCTCATAAAAAATCGGGGGGG